CCATATGATTCATACATTTATAAATGTCATAGTTTATAAACTAAATATTTAACTTACAAATTAAATATTTAGTTAACAAGCTAAATGTTTTCTTGTGACTTAAATATTTAGTTTTGAGCTAAATATTTAGCTTGCAACCTTAACATTTAGGTCGCTAGTTAAATATTTAAGTTAAATATTTAGGTAGCTAGCTAAATATTTAACTTGCTAGCTAAATATTTAACTTGCTAGCTAAATGTTTAAGTTGTAACCTAAATATTTAGGTAGCTAGCTAAATATATACATTTCAAGCTAAATATTTAGCTCAAAACTAAATATGTAAGTCACAAGTTAAATATTTAACTTGTTAACTAAATATTTAATTTGTAAGTTAAATGTTTATTTTATAAACTATGACATTTATAAATGTATGAATCACATGGTAAAAAACTGACTTTGAAAAAAATGTGTTCTTTTTTTCTTGTAAAAGACTAAATAAAACAAAAATATTGGTGGTAATTTTTGACTGTGTAACTTTACAAACGGCACCCCACAGTAAAGAAACTGCACAAAATGATGTTAACACAACAGTCCGTGAATCACTGGTTACACGTGAACAGGATTTCTTCACAATGGCGTTGCTTTCGGCTCACATTGGCCAATGCCTCGAGTGGGTCATTGACAGCCGACATCTTGAATGAACCTGTTGTTCTCCTTCGTCAGAAACTTTGAACAATCTGAATAAGTTTAACCCAAAGTGACGTCACGTTTCTCAGCTCACCTGTTTCAGGTTGTACAGCCCGTCTCGGTCACAGTTTGGAAATTTGAGCCCATACAGGTTCTCCAGCGGGCCTCTGTTGTCCTCAGAGGTCATTTTGGAGATCTCCTCTAAGACCTTGTCCAGCTCCTGGTGGCAGGCGCTCTGAAGTGACAGARAAGTAAACATAAAGAAGTGTTTCAAACGCTTTAAAAGTAAGTTTGACTTGAAATAAAAGCCAGAAATAACAGTTTGACGCCTCAGACGGTCACGGCTCAGAGAGTTGAGTCGGTACTGATGTGAGTCCAGTGGAGTGGAACCTGRGGGACTCGTCTGGTTAACACAGCAGGTGGCCGTGACCACACACATGCACATTAATGTATATATAATGGACACATTGTATTCATGCGTGCATTTTAGCACACGCAGGGGCCGGGGATCGGCCTGCCGCTGGGATCAAAGAGGTCCGGTCTCATGATTAGTTGGCTGAGGATGAGAGGGAAGACGGAGAGGACGGAGTTCTTCCTTATCTGACATCTCAGGATGAAAAGTCTCTCTTTCACCTTCACTCTTCATGCTTTATTCTAAAGTTTACAGAGCAACAGGACAGAGCTTGCACCGTTCAGTTTCGGGAAGACAAATCCTCAAGGTTCTCATGCATAAAACCCTGTTTTCTGTTTCCGCAGCATGTTTTTATTCACATCTTCTCCCACAACTTTAAAATAAAAACTCCTCCAAACAAAAACAGGCAACCAAACGTAGCATGGAGCATCCAGATCTGTAAATATCAAACACTGTAATTCTTCCACATGAACACTTTTTACAGCGATCTCGATTCAGTTTGCATTGCATCATCTCTACAGATCATTTCTTTCAGCACATCTTCCATCCCGTCACGTCTTCAAACTGTGGTAGTTTCACATTTGGCCTCTGGGACAATGAAGTCATAGACCTCACTGGGACGATTATAAAATATTTTGCTAGACAATAGCTGTGTTTCCATTACAAATGTGCGCAAAACTTTGTCGATATTCAGTTAATGTCAAAAAACAGTTTCGCAACTGCAGTGTTTCCATTAAGAGAGAAATGTTATTAAAGTCACGTGAATACGTTTGTTCTCATGAGAAGTCATTACAAACATGGCGGCGATGGATGTAAA